AAGGTGAGCGGGGTCCTGCTTGGCAGGGTGATGAAGTTTTCCTGCGTCTCGCAACTTTGCGGCCGGGATTTGGGGACAAGGCGGAGCTCAGCTGGAGGAGGAGGGAGAAGACACACTCTTCCGTGCACACACGTGCACATACATTTCAGACAGAAAAGTCAAATTCCTGTCGGCTGTCAGTGTCTGAGCTCTTTTCCTGAGAACCCAGGGAATTCCCTGGGTATTCCTTGCTGAAATCTGGCAGCTGCATGTCAGTGCTACCTGGGACTGAAGGTCTGGAAGCCACAACCAGAGCTGAAACTCCATCCCTGTCTTGTTGGCTTGTCCCAAGCCATCTCTAAGCCCTGCGATTGCTGTAAAGGGTTGGAAGATGTGATCATAAAAATGTGAATTTTTATGGCGGCTTTTTCATGGCTTTGAGAGTTTTGGGGGCTTAAAAGTAGGCGCTGTCGGGTCAAACTGGAATTATGCAAGAGCCATCAAAGCTTTTGTGGCTGTTTGGCTTTTTTGTCTTAATACCTACCGGTATCTGCAGCCCCAACCCTGTCAGGCCGTGCTGGAGAAAATGGAAATTAAGGGTGATAGAAAAGTCTCACCTCAGGGAACTGCTGCCGTGTCCGGGACAAGGAATGCTGAGGTCTAAAAGAGCTACAGCCTGAAAACTGCCGTGTTTTCTCACCGAGCAGCCCATGTTTGGAAAGCAGGGACTGAGCTGGGCCCCGCAGCTCAGCGGGGACGATACGAACTGCTCCCGGTCAGGGCAAAGCAGAAAATCGCCCGACAGCAGGCAGGGACAGCCGGGGACCCCGACTGCAAAACTCTTGCACCCTCGTGTCCCCAGATTGGGACGGGGATGGCCTCGCCGAGGCTCCTGGGGCTGAGGGAGGTGACACTTTGGCTCCTGTCACTCCCGTTGAGCAATCAGCTGGGGCAAAGGGCCAGGATTAGTCACTCCAAATGAGGCACATCCTTTGGGAAGGGGGCAGGCTTTCTGCAGAGCTGGTCCTACCTGCCCCGGCCCTTCCAAACAGGGTGCCGGGAGAGGCCGAACTGCGTGTGAGACCTCCTGGGTTGTGGTTTTTTTCCAGGATTGAGGGGTGACCACCCAGCTGGGGTTTACCAGCAACACTCAGGAATGGCAGAATGCAGGCAGCATCCCCACAGAGAACTGCGGGTAGCCTTAACCCCATGGCTATTAGCCACGGTGGGTGCAGCCCCTGTGCACGGTGCTGTGCTGAGTCCCTCGCCCCAGCGTGTGGCTGGGAGGGTGGCTCCAGGGTGGGGGGGGCACTCCTTGGCCCTGGGACACCCCTTTAACAGCTCCACATCTATTTGAGTTTTGCAACGCGCCCCCTCCTGCACAGGAGGAGCTGAGGGCATCCTCCAGTGTCTCCCAGGCAGGCCACAAGGACAGGGATCAGGGTCCCTCTATCTGGATCTCATCAACTTATGTGAAATGGGGGACCCTGAGGAGCACCCCATGCTCTCCAGCAGCACAACCCTCTCACAGGAAGTGTTGCAGGGGTTTGGGGCCTC